ACAACATTGTATTTATGCAAGCAGAGACTCTAGACTGATGGTGCTGTGAGTATCATATTTCAGCTGTATTGATATTATGCAAGAAAAGTGTTTTCCCCTTTTTTTTTTCTTTTGTATAATGTAAAAAATGTATATTCTTAATTTTGCTACAGATCTTATCGTATTGCATGCAGAGTTATCCCTGAAGAAGGAGCGTTTCCTCCGAAACGCGTCTGGAACTTAGTCTAGAGTCTCTTCTTGCATAAATACAATGTTGTACATCAGTTTCCTGTAACAGTTGACTGATATGTGGAAATTATTATGTGCTATCTTTTTAAGAAAAACTTTGTCCTTATATTGCCTAAAAAATCCCAATCCCAGGGGGAGTGTTTGTCATAAGCAAATCTGATATTGGGGATGTTGGCAATCATGCGGAAAACCTTCCATAACTTTCATAATTTATAGTAGATAATCTTTCATGGATCATGAGCTGAGATAATTTATTTTTCAAAAATGTCAAATGTATCATAAAGGTTTTATATGCCTTGGCAACAGCTATCTTGATGGCTAACAGAATAAAGAAAATGATTGTTTTAGAGGGCTTTGGGATATCTGCAGTGGTGTAGTTAGGTTTTGTGCTGCCCTAGGCAACAAAAAAAAAAATCTGCCGACCCCCCTCTCCCCTTCGGGGAGAGAAGACGAGAGACTGAGAGAGACTCACCATTGCAGCTTTTCAGCCATTCCCCCGGCTCCCCTCACTACGCTTTTTCCGCCTGCTGCCCAGTCTCAGTCCCCTTGGAGCCAGTTTGGCGCAAAGCAGGATCACCAGAGTCCCTTCTTCTCGGGGGAGGCGTTGCCTCCCTGAAAAATGTCGCCCAAGGCATACGCCTTGTTTGCCTCGCGGTATATACGCCCCTGGATATCTGGAACAGGCAGTGCAAGCTGTTTTAGTTATATTTATACAGGTAATCATGTATATGAGTCTGAAACCACAGATTTAGTACTGCTGCTCCTTTGGACATTACCACCACACATAAAACATATCTCCCTTTTGCCACGCTGTTGAAAGCAATTTGAAGAGGAGTCAGGAGTCGGATGACAGCAAGTGTTATCTATTGAAGACTATAAAATTTGCTTCTACCAGGGACCAACTTAAAATGTTCTTATACATTTTATAATAGTTCCCTGATCCTGCTCCCATGCCAAATGGTGTGAGGCAGCTGATTAGAGGAATCAACCAACTGAATGTAAGAGCCTACACCAGCTTTCAAATACCATCATAACAGAGAGGTTCTCAACCTTTTTGACCAAGATTTGAAATAGTTTGACAGTTGATGTCAACAGAACAATTCTACCCTCAGCATGTCCATTTTGTTCCTTATATATTTGGCATTCACTGGGACTGACTCCCTAAAAAAATTGCGTACACTTGTAAAAACACATATTTAATCACCAATTTTCCTGGTGAGAAGACTGGATCCAGTGGGGAGAATAAAGTGTAGTTTGTTTACAGGGGTTGTCCCACAATTTTATAGAATGGGGTAATGTCAGACACATAATTGCAGGTCTCTGTAGGTGATCTACATCGATAGATCTATTGGGGACACACCACATGCTTCCACCTCCAACTATATCTAGTCAGGTATACAAGAAGTCTGATAATAATAGATTATATTCCCAGCTCCCAGTTCTCCCCTTGATCTTCCAGGATAAATAGTATGCGATAGTCTATTCCAAGGGTCTCCAAACTTTCTACACAAGATACACACTGATAGGCGGTACTGATTGGTACTGATAGGTGGCACTGATTGGCAGCACTGATAGGTGGCACTGACTGGCACTGATCGGTGACACTGAAAGGCAGCTAAGATGGGCACTGATATGTGTCATTGATGTGCACTGGTAGGCACTGATATGTGGCATTGATGAGGCACTGATGGGCACTGGCAGGTGGCATTGATGAGCACTGGAAGGTGGCATTGATGGACACTGACAGGTAGCACTGCTGGAGCTACACTGATCATCAGGGCACACTGATCATCAGTGCCCTGATGATCAGTGTACATGTCCCCTCCGAGGAATGCCAATTACCGGCTCTCCTCTCCTCTCGAGCTGTCAACATGACCGCTCTTAAGGAGAGAAATGCCGATAACCGGTATTTCCTTATTAACATGTGATCAGCTGTGATTGGACACAGCTGATCACATGACCGAGCCGACATCTTTGGCTCTTTCCGTTGATCAGTGATCCGCTGTGTCCCAGGGAAACAGCACACCACCAATCGCTGCGCTGCACGCTTTCGGAGCCGCGCACGCGCGGTTAGAGTGGGAAGACGTCGTATGACATCCTCCCAGAACAAGAGAACCACCTTGCGCCTGTCATTACCTTATATGGCAGGAGGCGGTTAAAATCCCATCCAATGTTCAAGATTTTTTTAATACATAGTTGCCCAGGGGATTTGGAAATTTTGCTAATTTTTTTGCGTTTTCCATTGCTTCCACTGTAAATTCCCTGTTCCGTAAAAGCACTATTTTCTGGACATAGGTAAGTGATAGGCATTGAGAGTAACATGCTTTTTACACCCAAATTCTAGCAATCTGTTGGAGGACAGATCTGTTGGGGAATTTTCGTTAAGCATTAACTACACAGAATTTCATTTCACTTAGATTCTCGAAGTTAACCTCTTGCCGGCACACAAATCGTGCAATATATTGATTTAAGTATAGTGCAACTAAAATATACTGTATGTCAGCATGGGGAAAATCTCCTACATTCATCCATATATTTAAAGTGAGTCTGTACGCTCCCCATGCAGGACAAGGCAACAGCTACACCTAAAAGCACCACTTCTCCATCCATACATTGCATGGCCAAATCATAGGTTTGCTCGGAGTCTGTTCTATTGCATAATACTCAAGCCTGCAAACATTTCAATATTACTTGTTCCATCAATAGCAATGTCTATCATGTTTTCCTCTGGTATGCTTGGTTAAAATGATGAGCAAACTGATTTGTGTAAAACGTGTAGCCAGTTTAGCTGATTTGCTCCAAGCTGAAGTGTAATAGGAAGCTGATTCACTAAATGAACATTGGGCCTCAACGGGAAGCCTGCATTTTAATTGATGTCACACGGGGCACGGGAATTTCTTCCCATAAACCTTCCCATTGGTCATCCAGAGGGCAGAAAGTCTACACTCCTTTGGGTCACAGGCTATAAGTACACTCTGCTCCTCAATAGTGACTTTAGGATTAGTGCTTTAGAAACATTTAAAAAGCTACATATTAAAATGTGAACAGCTACATGTACTTTGGTCAGAATGTAAGAACAATTTTCCTCGTCTTTATATTTCCTGTAATATGCCCTGTGCCTGCATATTTTCCTAGCTAATCATCTGACAAAAACCCAGGAATATATTTGTATCACCAGGAACAATCTCTTCCAAACGTTCTGTCATTCTTCCAGCCATGTTAGAAGAGACAGTTATTAAAAACAAGCAATATCTATTCTCTGAACTGTCTCCAGAGGATAAATTTCATAAATTCTTGTAATTTAGAGATTCCAGTTTCAAGATATTTCAGCAGCTTCTTGGTGCAGCAGTACTAGTGTTGTAGCAATGGGATCCTGAAGTCAGATCCTATCAGGAGCAAGATGGAGTTTGTATGTTCTCTTCTTGTTGATATTTGACTCTTGTAGATGATCCAGCTACCACTGACCTAGAGATGTGCATGTCAGGTGATGGGACAGTCAATGATTTTACAAAGTGGTGAGGTGAAATGTGCACCTTTAGGGATCATTAATACCATGTCCACTGAGCTACGATAATCAACACTGATCCATGCAGGCTTGACGCAAGGACATATTGAAATCAGTTGTTTTCGATGTGTTCTGTTCACACCATACAGCTGTGCTGCAATGCACAAAAATGCATGTCGGCATTTATAGCTAGCACAATGCATAAAATGCATGTCAATGCAACCTATCATAATGAAAGAAGTTAGAATTTTGACCCTTGATGTGGCTTGTACAGAAAAAAAAATGATATAAATGCAGTTCAACATCCATTAAAACATAGTGCAAATCATTAAGAAACACATCAATGTGCATCAACTCACATGACAGTGGATTATTAGTGCATTGTAGTGTGCCCCACCCAAAAGGGGAAGTTCCGCTTTAAGTCTTTGTCTTTGTCAAAGGATTGGCACCTTTGGGGAGCGGGTACCCGAATGTGACAGGTACCCACTCCCACGTCCACTGGGATCCCCTAAGATGATTGGCATCAAAAGTTGTCCTCCCCCCTCCCTCCCCGTAGTCTTCTGGGACACGTGACAGGTCTCAGAAGACTACGGCACCATTCACAAAGCGCTGTGCTTCTCGCGCAAGCTATCACAGCCGGGTGCCCACACTGAATATGCCAGCGCCAGGGAGAGAAGACGGCCAGTGAAACCAGCCATGGTGAGGACACCTCTGGACTGAGGGACAGCTAAGTGACTGTATTTTAAAAGTCAGCAGCTACAGTTTTTGTAGCTACTGACTTTTTTTTTTTTTTTTTCAGCTAGAACTCCGCTTTAACGTTACTAAACCCACAACAGTAAAATCGTCTGTATATGCAGTAAAGCATGCTTGATATATTCGCTGTGTAATCTAAGGGGTTAATCCTCTGCATTGTGTAAAAAGGCTGTTTGATCCTGACTTCTCTGATCCTCCCCTTCTTCCAGTGTCCCGCTGTTATCTCCTGATAAAAGATATCGTGTGGAGACACTCTGCAGTGCTCAGCTTGGTGTGAATTGCTAGAGAGGTTGTTTGTTGCATGTGATCAGCACAGGGCCAATCAGCACTGTCCGGACAGAGGTCAGGGGTTTTTCATCCTCCTAGAGCAGAAAGAAAACTCCTCCTACAAGCTTTAACCAGTGCTCTGCTGAACACTGATAGAAGTCACTAGACTGCTATATACTACTGATGAGAAAAAGGTATTTAGCAGTTTATATTTACTAAAATAATTGCACTTCCATGCTCTGTGTACTGTGGGAGACCAGATATAGTGAATGCAGGGTCCTGGGTTTAGTAACACTTTAAAGGTAAGTTAGTAATGGCAGCTCTCTCCATATCTTTACATAGATAGGTAATGGTTGTAAGTCAATTTATGTTTTAGCTCTTCTGTTTTTTTTTTAAACTGTTGTGTGTGTGTGTATATATACACACACACACTAAAAGTATTGGAACACCTGCCTGTGCACACGCATGAATTTTAATGACATCCCAGTCTTAGTCCATAGGGTTCAATATTGAGTTGGCCCACCCTTTGCAGCTATGACAGCTTCAACTCATCTGGGAAGGCTGTCCGCACTTATGTCAGACGAGAAGGCAACTGCCAAACCCAGAAACATCCATTGGATTGCCAGACAGTGAAGCATATTTGGTCACTCCAGAGAACACGTCTCCACTGCTCTAGAGTCCAGTGGCGGCATGCTTTACGCCACTGCATCCGATGCTTTGCATTCCGCTTGGTGATGTAACGCTTGGATGCAGCTGCTGGAAACCCATTCCATTAAGCTCTTTACGCACTGTAGTTGTGCTAATCTGAAGGCCACACGACATTTGGAGGTCTTTTGCTATTCTGCAGACAGTTGGTGACTTCTGCACACTGTGCACTTCATCATGCACTGACCCCACTCTGTCATTTTATGTGGCCTACCACTTCATGGCTGAGTTGCTGTTGTTCCCAGTTGCTTCCACTTTGTTATAATACCACTAACAGTTGACTGTGGAATATGTAGTAGCAAGGAAATTTCATGAATGGACTTATTGCACCGGTGGCAATCTATCACGGTAGTATAGAGACAGGTAGAGATAGCACGGCAACGCCTGTTTTGTGACTGTCAGAATGAAACCTTCTACTAAGTCCTCCAATAATAGATGAGTCACTGTTGATAAGTACACTTCTGTGTAAATTATAGCTTAGGGTACAGAGCCTGTAAATAACAGGCATTTTTTCAACAAACTGTAAATAAACTGAGATAAGGACAAAGCTCTACCTATTGCCTGGAGAGGGGACTATATAACATTCATGTGCAATATTTCATATTTACCTAAAAAACATATTTTTAATCATTTGTCTATAAGCCAGGCAGGACATTCACCTTTCCAAGTGGATGGCATATGAAATCTTCCCAAAACGTGCCTTGTGCGATCCACGGGCCATGCTGCGGCGCGATTTGCTGTGTTCACTGGACACTGATGGTACCATGTGATCGTTGTGACCAATCATTTTTCATTTTTCTTTCATTCACGCCATCCATTGTGTATTATTGTGTTGATTTCTGTGATTAGTCACTTTAATCACATAGTACAGACAGGGCCAGTCACAGCCCATCTGTACCATCTGTGGCCAATCACAGTTAACAACAATAGTAAACACTGAGCAAATCTATTTCATTCAGTATGAATGGCAGCTTATAACAGTGGAATTTACTAGTATAAGCAATCAAAATGTGTAAAAAAAAGCAAAAACAAAAAACAAACAAAAAAAAATTCTGACCACTTCCCCAGAGTAGTACAATGTTACTATGGTAACATTATATTGCTCTAGTGACAGTGTGTAAAAAAAATTTAAATAAAGAAAAAAATGTAATAAAAAAATTGAAAAAGAGTTATTAAAGTGATTATCAAGGTTTTTTACCGTCATGCATTCTATACATGAAAGTAAAAAACTTTCTGTGTGTTGCGCCCCCCCCCCCCCCAACACTTACCAGAGCCAAATCCCGATCCAGCGATGTCCATGAGAGCCTCAGTTCTCTGAGGACTCACTCCTGATTGGCTAAGGCAGCAGCAGGAGCCATTGGCTCCCGTTGCTGTCAATCACAGCCGTTGAGCCAATCAGGAGTGGGAGAGAGCCATGGCTCTGTGTGTGAATGGACATGTAGAGCCGTGGCTCAGGAGCTCGTCTGCTCGAGTTCCTCCATAGCAAGCTGCTTGCTGTGGGGACACCCAACAAGAGGGAGGGGCTAGGAGAGCTGGCGGGGGACACAAGAAGAGGAGGATTCGGGCTGTTCTTTGCAAAACCACTGCACACAGCAGGTAAGTATGGCATGTTTTTTTTTTCTTTTTAAAAACAAGACTTTAGTATCACTTTCATTTTTTATTTTTTTTACATACTGTCACCAATCAGTGTCCCGGATCACCAATACACCAATTATATGATTACTAGATAGTGCTGTACTGCACTTGTGACAATAGGTTACAAAAAACTGTGAAAACGAAATTAAAATTTCTTCATTTTCTAAAAAATTGTGACAAAAAAATTACAACCTAAAAAAACTCACCATGTCTCTTACTAAATACCTTGGACTGTCTACCTTCCTAAAAGGGGTCATTTGGGGGATATTTGTACTGTCCTGACATTTTTGGGCCTGAAGAAATTAGCACATCAGGATTGATTGATTGTCAGATATATATACCATAGTTAGTGGACTACATATGAAGAAAGAATATTTATTTGCAAAACTGTATAACAGAAACAAAGAAAAACGCCTTTTGTTCTACATTTTCGGTCTTTTTTTTGTTTATTTATCAAAAAATAAAAAAAACCCAGTGGTGATTAAATACTACCAAAAGAAAGCTCTATTTGTGTGGAAAACAAAAAAGATAAAAATGTGATATGAGTACAGTGTTTCATGATTGTGCAATTGTCATTTAATTTGCGGCAACGCTGAAAGCTGAAAATTGGCCTGGGCAGGAAGGGGGTGAAAGTGCCCGATATCGAAACGGTTAAACACTTTATTTTCCTGATCATAACAAATAAAGCAATTGTATACACAAAGCTTACAGTTCCCTTTATAATTTAGTTTAGACTGCAGGTTACCTTTGTAAGATTGTAAGATAAATGTGACGATTCCAGTCCAATATTCTGTTAAGAAAATGATGTATGGCAAAGTATAGCTACAAATAATGGAGAGTCAGAGCCAGTTTGTTCGATTTCCAGACTCCATATTAAAGGGTCAGTTTGCCAAAATTTAGTGGAGCTTGGTGGTCTGAGTTAGCCCCTGCCTTCCTATATATCTTGTCATATTTCCTGACTGTAACCTGTCCATATGGAAGTTTTGGACCACCTTCGTGTGTTTCAGATTTTCCTGTTGTATTTTTCTTAAAGTGGTTGTAAACCTCAGACATTCAATATGTACAATGAATATCCCTCTATAGTGTGTACTTGTCTCTATCCAGAGCACTAAGTGGCATATCCGTCTGCTGCCTTGTTCCTCTGTTATCAGCATGAGCCATTTCTGACAGGTTTTCCTGAAGCCAAGAGCTAAAAAGGTGACAAGGGAGGGAGCTCCAGCGCACAGCCTGATATTGACAGCATCAGTTCTGTTTCTGTGTGCTGGGGGTGTGTCCATTCCCTCCAATCAGTTCTCTTCACTGAGCTCTGCAGGGTGTAACTTCAGCTTTTCGCCCCCTGCTTTCTGGAAGCTCAGACAAACTGCATAAATTCTGGACTTGAATGGCTGTAGAGAAGAGAAGATTGCAGATATACAGATACAATGTATGTATAGTAGGATTTGTTTCATCTCTGTGTATCACCTGAGGTCAGTCGTTCACTGGGTATATGTAAGGGTTTATAAACACTTTAATTCAAATGAAAAAAAGAAAAACTGCTGGTCTCATTGGGTGTGCAAATCTCAAAAGTAGATTTTTGAGAGATATAAGACGCTGTCAAGTAGCTTAACCGCTTCCTGACCGCCCTATAGCATAACTACTGCCACAGGGTGGCAGGGCTCTACATAATCACGTATATATACGTGATTTTGCATTTCCAGGTAGTGGGCGCATGCGCTGTTCTACCTGCACCTCCATAGGTGGCTACAACTGTCGTTCACTGGGTCCCGGCCGGAGATTTCCCACCGGCACCCAGTGATCACCAAGAAACACTAAGAGGGGAGAGGTCTGTATGTAAACAACACAGATCTCTTCCCTGTCAACACCAGCATGCTGCTTTATATTGCTCTGCTATGCAAAACACTACAAAGCAGTATGCTTACATAGTAAAACAGCACACAGCACATAGTTAACCTTTTGATTACCCCAGATCTTAACCTCTTCCTGCCCAGTGTCATTAGTACGGTGTCAGTGCTTTTTATTAACACTGATCACTGTATTAGTGTCACTGGGGATGTCAGTGGCAGTTAGTCAGTTCCCCCCCCCCCCCCCCCGTGTCAGAATGCCCGTCAAAGTCCCGCAGTCCTACTATAAGTCACTGATCGCCTTCAGTACTGGTATAAAAAAAAAATCCAATATATATTGCCATTTGTAGATGCTATAACTTTCATGTAAACCAATTCATTTACATGAATTGGGATTTTTTTTTTAGCAAAGACATGTAGCAGAATACATTTTGGTCTAAATTTATGACAAAATTAGATTTTTAAATTTTTTTACTGGATTTGTTTTATAGCAAAAAGACAAAAATATTGTTTTTTTTTTCAAAATTTAAGCCTTTTTTGTTTATAGCGCAAAATATAAAAACGCACAGGCGATCAAATACCACCGAGAGAAAGTTCCATTTGTGGGAAAAAAGGACATAAATGTAATTTGGGTACAGCACTGCATGGCCGCGCAATTGTAATTTAAAGTAAAGCAGCGGCAAAACGCAAAAAATGGCCTGGTCTGGAAGGGGGGTAAATCCTCTGGACGGCAAGTGGTTAATAAAGCACAACTCCACCAATGTTTTTTTCCTAGTTTTGGACAGAAGGGGGAAGGTAAGTACAATTTCTAACAGGTTTTGATTTCTGTTTGGGATCCTAAGTAGATTTTCCCCGACATCTTGTCCTTGTGACATCTTACGACAAGAAATAGGGTTTGTGATTTTTACTAGGACAGGAGTGCACCAATATCAGTAAAAACCTTAGAGGTTCTAACCCTGTCCCACTACACTGAAAATACATGTAAAGGTTTTGTCTGGAGCTGGATTTTAACTCTTCAACATCTGCTAAAAGCTCAAATATAAGCTATTCAGGGTCTTAAATGATTTAGCACACCATGAAAAATAATTTCCTCTAGCGCAAAA